TCCTACCGTGTTTAAGGTCTGCTTTATGTTCACGAATGCGGTCCGAGACATGGCGTTTGGTTTCTCCAATGTAACTACTACCACAGAGGCAACTTAGTTTGTAGACACCAGGGTATTGTATGTCCGGAATCACATCTTTTACAGACGGAACCAGATCACGGATTTTATGTAATGTGTTGAAACGGACCTGGATCTTGTGTTTATTCAAGATTTTGGAGATCTTTTTTTTTGTGATCCCAGCAATGTAGGGTAAAGTGATGGTTTTGAAAGGCTCCTCAAGAGGGTTCTTCTTCATGGTTTGAGTGATAGCTTTGCGGATTGTATAGTCGGAGTAACCATTAGCCCTAAGAGCTTGGTGTACGTGCTTGAGTTCACTGCTTATGTGTTCCTGGTCGGATATGCATTGGGCTCTATGATACAGAGTCTTGATGAGAGAATTCTTCTGTGATGGATGGTGGTGGGAATCCGGTTTCAGATAAGCATCCGTATGGGTAGCTTTCCTGTAGACAGAGTGGCTCATTGAACCATCAGGTCTCTTTTTAATTAGGACATCCAAAAAAGGTATCTTGCCATCTATTTCGACTTCCATGGTAAATCTGATGGCTGGGTGTATGGAATTGATGTGGTCGAAGAATTGGTCTAGAGCAGGCCGGCCATGTGGCCAGATGACAAAAGTGCCATCCACGTACCTCTTCCATAAGGTTGGGCGCAGAGTGGCAGTCTGGATGGCGTCAGTCTCAAATTTCTCCATGAAAATGTTAGCTATAACTGGAGAAACGGGGGAGCCCATTGGGGTGCCCTCAGTTTGTCTGTAGAAAGTTCCATTCCAAGTGAAGTGTGTATTGGTTAAACAGTGTCTCACCAGGGGGGGGGGGGGTACCTCAGTGTTTAGTCCTTGATGAACCAAGTCTTCAATGATTGCAATGGTGTCAGGTACAGGAACCTTGGTGAATAAGGAAACTACATCAAAACTGACAAGCAGGTCGTCTGGGGACAGGGAAATACCCTTGATTGTCGATACCAGGTGAGTAGAATTTTGTACCACAGAGGTGGTCTTTCCAGTGAAAGGACGCAGGATTTCAGACAAAAAACGAGCTAGTTTGTAGGTGGGGGAGCTGATAGTAGAGACTATGGGACGAAGAGGTGTATCAACTTTATGTATTTTTGGTAAGCCGTATAATCTTGGTGGCCTGGCAGCAGAAGGTTTCAACGAAAACTGTTTAGATTGATCAATTAATGCGGTTGAATCAGAAATTATTTTGTTGGTTTGTGTGACGAGGCTGTTGGTGGGATCTCTTTTTATTTTTGTATAACTACCATCGTCGAGTAATTCTTTAATTTTGTTGTTGTATTCTATTTTATCCATGATGACAGTAGCATTGCCTTTGTCAGCTGAGAGGACTACAATATCATTCCTCTTTTTTAATTTATATAATTCAAAACGCTCATCTTTGCTGAGGTTGCTAGCTGGCATCTTAGTGTTTTTGAGATTATAAGGCTTACCAAAAATACATAAAGTTGATACACCTCTTCGTCCCATAGTCTCTACTATCAGCTCCCCCACCTACAAACTAGCTCGTTTTTGTCTGAAATCCTGCGTCCTTTCACTGGAAAGACCACCTCTGCGGTACAAAATTCTACTCACCTGGTATCGACAATCAAGGGTATTTCCCTGTCCCCAGATGACCTGCTTGTCAGTTTTGATGTAGTTTCCTTATTCACCAAGGTTCCTGTACCTGACACCATTGCAATCATTGAAGACTTGGTTCATCAAGGACTACACACTGAGGTACCCCCCCTGGTGAGACTCTGTTTAACCAATACATACTTCACTTGGAATGGAACTTTCTACAAACAAACTGAGGGCACCCCAATGGGCTCCCCCCTTTCTCCAGTTATAGCTAACATTTTCATGGAGAAATTTGAGACTGACGCCATCCAGACTGCCACTCTGCGCCCAACCTTATGGAAGAGGTACGTGGATGACACTTTTGTCATCTGGCCACATGGCCGGCCTGCTCTAGACCAATTCTTCGACCACATCAATTCCATACACCCAGCCATCAGATTTACCATGGAAGTCGAAATAGATGGCAAGATACCTTTTTTGGATGTCCTAATTAAAAAGAGACCTGATGGTTCAATGAGCCACTCTGTCTACAGGAAAGCTACCCATACGGATGCTTATCTGAAACTGGATTTCCACCACCATCCATCACAGAAGAATTCTCTCATCAAGACTCTGTATCATAGAGCCCAATGCATATCCGACCAGGAACACATAAGCAGTGAACTCAAGCACGTACACCAAGCTCTTAGGTCTAATGGTTACTCCGACTATACAATCCGCAAAGCTATCACTCAAACCATGAAGAAGAACCCTCTTGAGGAGCCTTTCAAAACCATCACTTTACCCTACATTGCTGGGATCACGAAAAAAAAGATCTCCAAAATCTTGAATAAACACAAGATCCAGGTCCGTTTCAACACATTACATAAAATCCGTGATCTGGTTCCGTCTGTAAAAGATGTGATTCCGGACATACAATACCCTGGTGTCTACAAACTAAGTTGCCTCTGTGGTAGTAGTTACATTGGAGAAACCAAACGCCATGTCTCGGACCGCATTCGTGAACATAAAGCAGACCTTAAACATGGTAGGACCAACACCTCGGCCGTAGCAGATCATTGTTCTAATTCAGTAGGCTCACATGCCATTGACTTTTCCAAGACAGAGGTTCTTTGTAAGCCATCTGGCTTCCAGGAGAGATTCGTTCATGAGGCTATCCACATATACAAGCACAGAGACAATTTCAACCGAGAAGATGGATTCTATCTTAGCAATCATTGGAAAGATTTGATAAACCATTTCAGTTCTTAATTGATTGTTCACGCTTACAGTGGCTTTCAGACAGCATACATTATAAAAAATTTCGTCTCCCCCCTCCTCTTTTCAAAATATAGATGGACTAGTCCTGGGCAAACTGCCAAATCGCTGCGCGTGATGCTAACGTTTTTTATAAATAAATAAATGCGCCGTTTAAAAATAAATTTATGCAAACCAACACACCTGAAGATGACCGTTTGAGTTATGGTCGAAACGTCGTGAGAATTTTTTATTGTTTTATATATATTTTATTATTTTGTTGTTTCTCTTCAACGTGACTTTACCGAAAAAACTAAGAAGACAATAAATGTGTTTGCCCTCGATTTGGAGTACCTGCCCACGTCCTTCATTTCGAGTGTGCAACATCTACCCACTCAACAGTAGTATCTACCTACTCTACGGTAGTATCTACCTACTCTACAGTAGTATCTACAGACTCGATAGTAGTATCTAACGACTCTACAGTAGTATCTACCGACTCTATAGCCGTATCTATGGACGCTACAGTAGTATCTACTAGCTCTCAACTGATGTATTGTTATACTCAACTAATGTGTTCAAAGGTATGCGTACAACATAGTCCCGGTAAGGGAACTTTAATTGTTCCATGTAACACCAAAACAAGAACTCATAGGGCAGCAAGGTCCATAAAGGACGTCACGCCCCTAATGGGGGAGGGGGTCAGACATTTGTGACGATGTGTGACGACGGGGAGAGGGGGGGTTTGAGAAATGTGACGTCACATAAAATGCGCAACTTTAAATAAATATTAATTAAATTGAATTGTTATAACACCACTAATTGTAGCATTTTCATTATGAACGATATATTATCAGAACATGTTTTTTTGTTAGCCTGTTCACCACAAGTACGTGTGGTTAATGATGACAGGATTCCTTGAATAAGGATTCCGTTTGGTGTTTTAACATCTTGACACCTGTTTTATTGCCAAAAAGGGAAAAAACCTATTGTTATATGTTACACTCTCTTCTTTTTTCTATTGGTGTGGCCGCCTGTCCTCTATGTGACCACCACACTTAACGCCTACGAACTCTACTATTGCATCCATTTGTTTAACGAATCTTTTGTACGTTCGTATTTATATGACCCCAACTTTGAAGAAAAGAACATTCAGAGTAACTCCATAACATTATTGGGCAAAACCGATGTAATGCATAGCGGCGTCACGATGACGCTATTGTTAAATAATCCTTGTATCAGCGTTTTTATTATTCTGAAACTGATGCCTAACACTGCATAAACTATGCTAATGTGCATTCTCGTAGAGAGAGCCAATGGCGCAATTCACATAACCTCATGTGCTGCGTCCTTTAGCCAATTGCAATAATACATTCATCTGATAGCTTGCATTGTCAGTGATTAATTAGCTAAAGTTATGCCAAGTGCTGCATAAACTATGCTATTGTAAATTCCCGTACAGAGGTGCGAATGCGTGTAAAGTCAATGTTTTTAGGTGTTACTGTTTTTTTAGCTTATTTTTTTTAAATATGAAATTGTCATAAATAAACACACAACAATACGAAATAAATATCCTACTGTAAAAGTTACTGTATTTTTATTGTATCGTACTTACCACACACACGCATCTAGAAGACTTTGCATGGGGCGATTGTGCGTACTCCACTCTTGTTTCAACAAATTGCGTTTGCCGAGTTATACGCACTTTTTGCCAGATCGCACTGTATATTTTCTCTTTTCATTACTCTGGTTATGTCATGAAAGATTAATATACGTGCAGTATTTTCATCGTTTAAGTTGTCATATGTAGTGTATAATGTATTTTATATATTACTAGCAGGAAGTACCCGGCTTTGTCTTCTCTTAACAACATGACATATACATACACAAATACTAAGCTGTTGCGAAAGCCCGACGTTCCGTTTGTCTGTCCCTTTGTCCGTCAACAAAATTATAAGAGCCTTTCAGAAGTCCTGAATCAAAAAGTAATATGAAGTGGGGGGTAAATAGTTCATCTAAAAGGTTTTGAAAAAGAGTTGTCGACATCCCCCCCCACCCTCCAAAAATCTCCCCCCCCAGCAAATTTGATTTTGTAGGTGTAGGGACAGTGCGGAGAGAGAGACAGTGCGTGGGTGGAGACAGTGAGTGGGTAGGGACAGTGCCTGGCCAAGTGGTCACGAGGGATAATTACAGGATGGACCATCGGGGATGTTCGGGATTGGCTGAGACAGTTTGAGAAAGGGGGCGTGGCCGGGGGCGGGGCAAATAGAAAGTTAGGGGACTGATCATGAATATATTGCTTCGTAAGTGACGCTGAGATTGGGTGTGACAGAAATGTAAATGGGATGCATTTTGACAGCTTTATGGTGAGGTTCATTAGCATATTCATATAAATTATGGACAGCCGAGGGATACCTGCAAGAGACCTCTGTTTACAGCCTCAAAGATCCTGAACTTCGGAGCAACTACCTGCTCGCTATCAGCATCCGAAAAGGTACGTACATTGTTTTGGGTTAAATCTCTATGGAGAGGAAGGATCAATATAATTTGGTAAATGTTATTATTTGCACAATCATCAGCCACGGTCAATGTACTGCTGAATGAAGTCCTTCCCAAGCTGCCACCACCTCTCAACATACTAATCCATATTGCCAGGTGTTCTACGCACAAATTGATTTTATTACTCAATCTCCAAAAAAGTAGCGCGAGAGACTAGATATAGACAGATGCAGTGCGAGGGGAGAACAGACATCGACAAGACAGCGATGTAATGAGATGAGGCGCAGCCGTTTGCTATGCAAGCCCCACAAGAGAACACGAGAGGCGCACATTGTAGATGCGATGCTGCAAAGACGGTTGCGCTGGGTGCGTTGCGTCTGCAGGATGGGTGAGTGCTGCTAGACAGAAATTGGAGTAGTCTCCACGAGTGTGCCGACCAAGGGGAAGAGGAGACCTCAGAGCAAATGGGGGGAGACTGTTCGAGGAGTTCTATGGGTCGCTGTGAGTCCGCGGTTCTCTGTGTGAGACTATTGGTCTGTATGCGAGCATGTGTTTTGAGTGAATAGGTTCCACGTGGGTTTTCCCGACCATAATTTTAATTCGTAATTGGTGTATGGGTCAGGTTGCATGCGTATGCTATAAAATGGAGTAATTTACCCTTTTTCTTGGTTCTTTCGGTAAAGTCACGTTGAATGAAAATAAAAATAAAACATAATAAAATAAAATTCTCACGAAGTTTCGGCCACAACACAAGTCGCCTTCTTCCGGTGAAGGAACAGAACTGTCGGGACGACAGCGCTTCAATGAACACTGCTAAGCTTCGCAGCGTCTTTTAAGCTGGGTGGGAGGAGCAGTGCGCCTGGACAAAGGAGTTTACATATCAACAGAAGAATTTAGCATTGAAATAGCTATGTTAAAGTGTTGGATTTAGCATGTAACTGGGAGATTAGCATGATGTTAATGTGCGGGATTAGCATGTAACTGGTCACGGAAGTAGCTATGTTAAAGTCAAAGTTTACATATCAACAGAGGCATTTAGTATATTGACGCTAAAGAACTGCAACTACCCAACTATCATACAATAAGCCGATGTGAAAGAACTAAGTATAAACTACATCAATATAATAAATGTGCTCAATATATTTTTCAATAAGTTGAGCTATTAACATAAAGTAACTGGGTATACACTATACTATATAATGAATACCATATAGTAAAATGATAAAAAACTAAAATATAAACTACATCAATGTTATCAATAAACTCAATATACTCTCCAATCAGCTAAGCTACTAACAATAAGTCGTTATACATTACAATTCTATGTTGAAAACAAAAAGGTGGCGGTTTTTTTTTCTTTTCAACGTTAGCACCACGGAAAGCGACGAGCTTTGTTCAGACGGACGAGTCCATCTATGCTCGAACGGAGGAGGGGGGAAAAACAGCCATGATGCGCTGCTCTGTCCTGTGTTGCGTTACAACTATGTTATAAACTAGACTACTATACATTACAATGTTATACCTTCCAATCTAAACTACATTATATAATATCGTATACACAGCCCAATGTAAGCTCTAACATTATGCATTATATTGATATGTCTCCAACTAAACTTTTTTCTACATTACACTATACACAGTAATATACATTGCCATAGACAAACCCCACCCTTGAATTATACAATGAGTTACTATAATTGTATAGTGAATATACAGCAGTGTGGTATATAGTAGGGTTGGTAGAATAATACATAGTGTAATATCACAAGTCTAATATTTTATAGTCTAAAGTATAGGGAATTGTAATGTATAACGACTTATTGTTAGTAGCTCAGCTGATTGGAGAGTATATTGAGTTTATTGATAACATTGATGTAGTTTATATTTTAGTTTTTTATCAGTTTACTATGTGGTATTCATTATATAGTGTAGTGTATACCCAGTTACTTTATGTTAATAGCTCAACTTATTGAAGAATATATTGAGTATATTTATTATATTGATGTAGTTTATGCTTAGTTCTTTCACATTGGCTTATTGTATGATAGTTGGGTAGTTGCAGTTCTTTAACGTCAATATACTAAATGCCTCTGAAGATATGTAAACTTTCGCTTTAACATAGCTACTTCCATGACCAGTTACATGCTAATCCCTCAAATTAGCATCATGCTAATCTCCCAGTTACATGCTAATTTCTGACTTTAACACCCTGCTAATCCTACACTTTAACATAGCTATTTAAATGCTAAATTCTTCTGTTTATATGTAAACTCATTTGTTAAGGCGCTCTGCTCCTTCCCTTCACCTGAAGAAGGCTACTTGTGTTGTGGCTGGAACGCCGTGAGAATTTTATTTTATTATGTTTATTTTTATTATTTTATTTCCATTCTACGTGACTTTACCGAAAGAACTGAGAAGATGAATCCCTGCAGTCACGAAAGCTTTAAATAGAAATTTAATTTACCATTCGCCATTCGAAATGGCCAGACCAATCAAGCTGTCAAAATAAGAAAACATGCCCATTGAAAGTTTCAGGAAATTGTTTTTCTTCACGTGACAACTTGATTCGTTTTCCTGTGTCGCGTAGAGGAAGGGTAATTGACATCGTTTGATTTGTATACTTATGCGATCTAATCCAAAAACCAATAGTAAATTGCGAGTTCCTATATGATTCTCTAAGTCTCCATATGATTCAGATGGTGGGATACAGTCAGGGCAAATCATGGGAGGCTGCATATCTCCTGTGCAGCAGCTAGGCGGAGGGTAGAGAGCACTGGTAATGTGGTGGTAATGGTGGCATCAGTGGCTTTGGCCATGATTACATCTTGATGTTGATCTTTGCAGCCCTCTTTGATTCTGATGTTGCCCATAGACTGGTTGCGTTGCAGCTGCAAGACGATGTCTCGCCTCCGTCTCATGATTGCCTTGGCTCTTTTCATCACGCTGTACGTGGTCTGTTCGACTGAGGGATTCTCCCAAGGTGAGGTGCATATTTGGTTACACAAGGCGCATAAAGCCACAACATGTCATTCATTACACTACCCTGAAAGTAAAATTATATAATAGGCACAATTTTGGGGAATGGCCCATCCTTTTCGCATGCGCTATGTAGGTCCATTTTCTAAAACGCATCCTACTTACATTATTAATGTTCGTTTTAGGGGCTGTGTTAAATATGGGTTGCATTTTTACTATTTGCGCTAATGCACCACTGTCACATTCTTTTACATCCATTGGGTGGTACTGGGCGTTCACTTTTTATTCTCCCTCTACGGCCTACATTTGCCCCAAAAAAGACCAAAAATATACTAAATGGGAATAAAAAAAATAGCACTCATCCTCTTCCCCTGACAGGCTAATGCCCATTTGCAGGCCAGGTTTTAGTAATCTCCACTGGGTCCTGCCCACAGTGACAGGATCCACTGGAAATGATGTGATGTAAAGCACCCTGAGGATAACCACGCACATAGGGCACTATCAAAACAAACACTACCAATATGTGATACCATGGCACGTGTGTATCTCTAGATATATCTCAACGTCAGAAAAGATCATATTTGGAGTGGAGTGAAAGCGAGGTGCCCAATTCCGTCTTCTCGGCCAGACTATCAAATCAAGAAGTCAAGTCGGGGACTCCAATAAAATTTGACATCATAATCAGCAATCCACAAAAACACTACGAACCCACCACGGGCAAGTTCACGTGCATCTATCCGGGCGCCTATTACTTCTCCTTCCAGTCGCACTCCAATGACAAAGGTTATCTCGTAGCATTACTTAATAAGAATGGCAATACGGTCATCAGAATGACAGCTCACCCCAATGACGAGATGAGCGGTAGTACTGTGATGTTGCTGACCAAAGGCGACCAGGTTACCGTGGAGTTTAAGGAGCCTTGGCTAAATATATTTATTAATCAGCACCGGGACACCGTGTTCAGTGGATTCCTGATCCCCTCTTATTAATTCTGCCTGGGCGTTATTCTCCCAGAACAGACTCGAAAATTGTCAACCGGAAGGATGATAATGGGGCGACCACACAAGTCATTCTCGTTTCATGCTCGTCCATTACAACTTTGATGTGTTGCTGGCCGCCTGGCGTCTTGGGCATTCCTAAGTGTTACAACAAATCGGCAGATCTTTTTTATATGTATTGGAACATTTGGCATGACGTAACAATTATCAAAATATGACTAACTGATTTATACTTTGTCACGTATCGCTATCAGGAGTGCCCTAGGCCTACAAGCTCTCCTTTGTCATGCTTTTTGCCCTCACCCCGCTCTCTGTACGACGAGGGATTAATTTCTCGCTCAAAACACTGCTCGCGGCTAGCTAGGAGTACGGGTGATTGGCATAAGGCACTATAACTATCACCAGAATGCAATAAATGTCTATCCGTAATATTATATCATTGTACCCACTTATTTTCCCATTTATGTATACAGTTATGAGACTAAAATGAGGACATACTGTATGTTTGTGACTTACCAAGATAATTAAAAGATTCAGAATTTCAGACTGTATCCAGCTGATATCAAGCTCTGATTGCTGCCATGATGTTAAGTCATAGCAATGCTTTTGAGTGTTGCTAAGCAGGCGTGTGCGTGTGTGCTTGGCGGTGGGTTTAATAAAGGCTACATTACATGCAAATGTGCTCAATTCATTGTTCATTATTGTGGCGGATAAAGGGCTGTCGATTTAGATGGCGATGGTGCAGCCCAGTGGTCGCGCGCTTGCCGCTCCTTTATGGAGGTTCGCGGAGTCAATGTGGGCAGGCCGCCCTGGTTAATACTGCGGTGTATGAACCACGAAACACCACAAGTAATCTGCTTCACAGCGGACACTGTAGATTCTCGGGACGTCTTCGGAACAAAGTAGGTCACTGTGTGCTGGCGTCATGGTTCAAATTTGTCATGTTCGAAAAATAACGCCCAAATGACACAATTTGGATTAACATTGCAACATCGCAATTTTCAATCCCAGTGGCAGCAGGGACTGAGACATTTAATCAAGGAACATGTAAATACAGTGCAAACCGTCGTGAGAGAGAATGGCAAATTGAAGCAGATATCACAGAATTACCTTTGAGTTCTATGCAAGTGACCTCTGATCCAAATAATAGAGAGCAACACTTTCCACTCGCTATGCATGAAATTTCATTGCATGACAGTGAACCTTTATTTTAGTCCTCAGAGCTGGAATTGAACGATTAAAACCAAATGTAACATGATAGTCGTTTTATGCAATGGCTGCCCACATATGGGCAACCAAGGAAACGAAGGCAACGGGGGACTGAAGGGGACCTCGACTAGAACACCACACAAAGGGCTGCAATTATAATGGTGATATCGCGGCCATTTGAAAGAGGCACCGCTAATAATAAGTAACAAATGAGCCGCTGGTTTGAAGGGATGGGGCTTTCAAGTATGGACAAAAATCATTGTGGAATGCAGAGTAACGGATAAGTGAGTGTCGGGATAGCGATGGAGTGAAAATAATCCACGACTGTTCAACACTCTCCCTTGCTTCTTAGCCAGCAACGCCAACGGAACTTGTGAGTACATGTTTCTCTCATCCCACCTGACGTGTCTCATAGACACGGTCATTGTGGTGTATGGCAGCGATACGGGCACATACAGTTATGCGAGTCAGCTCAGGAACGGAGTCCCACCAGACGTCACTCGTCGCAGCGTGGTCGTGTTCAGTTCGGTGTAGAGTACACGTTAGTAGTGCGCGTGGAATTAAACAAAAATTGTAGTTCATAAGTGAGCGTGTAGTCTCCATGTGCGAGTCTGGGATAAAATCAGGCAGGCATTTTAGAGTTTAGAGGTGATAAGGCGCACCAAGCATGGGCGCCACATCAGCGTGATTTCCCTCCATCACGGCGGGCAGCATGGCCAGAGGGAAGCCCCTGAAAGAGCAGCCCTACTGACCCCAAATATCGGCTGTGCGGTACTCGAGAACGAGGAAGGGGGTGCGTGCGGCGTATTTGGAGTTTCACAAATCACTACTTAATGCACCCTCGCCTCCAATGCAAAATGAATCACAAGCGTGCATAGCCACCATCACGCCCAGTTGCTGTACTACCTGAGTTTGTAAAAGAAAGCAAACAAAATTATAGTCAGTCTATGAAACCCAGGCTTGAATCCAGGATCTCAGCAGTGCCAACTCAGCACTTAAGACTAACTCTGAAATAAATTTCCAATTGACGACCAACCTCTTCACTGCCACTGCTTCTGCTGAACAGAGACAATCTCACCAAAACTTTGAAACCCACAAAAATGCAAGCAGACCACCACTACGGTTGAATCGCGTTGCAATGCATTGATTGGTTTAAAAAATATATTTTCCGTTCACTGTTTTATCGCTGGTACTCGTAATACCAAAGAATGCTGCGCAGGTGAAATGAATTCAGCGTGAGCATCGCTTGTAAAACATTTCACCGACGCCACACGCGTGCATGGGGAGCAGAGACGTGGGTGACCGTGACTTTCACAAGCGTAGCTTCATTAGTTGTATTCGCCGATGAGATGTGTGGAAATGTAGCAATGAGAGGTAGGGAGACAAGGTTATGGAGGGCCTAAGGGATACGCAGGCACATTAAACGCAATGGACATAGCATAGGGTAGAGGAGTTCTACTGTGCAGGATTTCGCGGTTGTGCTTTACAGCTCTTAGATACGTTTTTGTTTCCAGGTTGTATCGCATGCTGCCCAGAGTGATGTCCAACGTTTTTCTTAGGAACTAAATTCAGTTCGATCTCCTCCACGTGCTGGGAGCTTCTTCAATAACTTTTGCTTCAGGTTACCTGGTTCGATGTGTAAACATTGCCACGAAGGAGACAAAGGCGGCCGGGCGTGTTGTTGGCCCGTCATGAACTAAAAAATGGATATGTTCGGCTGGCGAGTGGGGAATGCTTTTCAAACGTGACACTGCCATGAGTTTATCTGCAAATGAAACGATGTGGCATTTGCACGGATCGCAGGGGGCCCTTGTCCGGTTGACAAAAGAAAATATCCCATATCCAACCGGTACAATGAGCCCCCGAGGTGGAATTGTAAATACAGGAAGGTGATTTTTACATATGGAGAAAAAAAAACAATGTTGATGCCATTGTTGATGGTACGCGTGACAATCATTACTGTGATCATGACGAGTCACCTTAAAAAGTCTAGCGTCCGCACAGGTGGCGCACACTTCTGCAGTTTATTAACATCACAACATTCGCTTTTTAAATGTGTTTTGATTTGCTTGGAGCAAACGAGAGCAGCGGGATGAATTTTGTTAGCGAGCCCATATGAAGGCCTATGCAGCACACAAGGTGGTGGTAGTGTAATAAGCGAGCGCCATCTCCTGCATAATTGAGGAGTTACACTTTACATACTATCAGACAGTACATGGCTTATCAGTAGTGGGGTTCGATCTGGGGGAACGGTTAACGGGCAGAGCTAGCCTGGAAGCCTCGGGAACATTCTCGAAGGTTCCTAGAGGGGCGTGGCCAGAGGCAGAAGGTTCGGGGTTCGGTGGTTGAAGATCAGTTTCAGTTGATTTTTTGGTATAGCCCTGTGCACCATTCGGCTCTTGAATCGGGTGCAACCACAACAAACAAAAAAACACGAACAAGAAAAACATCTTAAAGTGACTATGTGACTGTGCAAACAGAAAATCCATGAAAATAAAACAGCAAAATATTCCTGAAAAAAGCACCGTACACCAACACTGTGTGCAAAAAATCCCAGTGGGATGCAAGTCAAACAACAACAACCACAAGAAAACGTAGATTAAGGCCATCAGTCTAACTCCGTACTACAACAAAACAAACATGTCCAATCAAAAAACTTTTCGAAATCACCAAAAAATGAAGCCATAATTGCAACGTAACAGTGATCACAGGGACTGTGACCGAATTTTTACAATAAATTACATAAATAACATGTAACACCAAATCCTAGAGCCATAGCTGGCTGCATGAGTTACTCCACAATAACAGAAGCATCAGTCGGAGCTCCTCGTCGCTGCTGCCCTGCCATCTCCACAAGCCACGTGGCGGCTCAACCTTCAGCCGCTCAAGCGCTTCCCAGCGCGCCGCCAGCCAGCGGTGCGGTGGAGAGAGCGGTGAGCTCCACGTGGCACAGGGCAGTGCTGTCACGCAAAGAACGAACGACGGCATCCGCGTAATGAGAGGAGTCGTGGCTGTGAAGAACTTTTAATAAATAAATAAAGTTGTGCCGTATCAGAGCCACTTATTACAGTAGGGCCAACTGCACACACACCCATCTGCATTTGTCTACCCACTGCTGGTGTAAATGACCATTCCAATGCACTAGGAAGTAATTATTGGCTGACTGGACCTAGGTGAGAACATTACATCAGATTCCAGATGCCAGATGGCACGAGTCGTGACCGGCAGTGGGCCAGGTAACGATCCTGGGTTCTCTGGGTTCTTTGTTCAGTCTTCCAAACTAAGATCGCCCGTGTAGCCAACACATGGCTAGTGGGGTAAATTCTGTTAGCGAGCACCTATGAAGGTCCACACGACACATGAGGTGGTGGTGTGGCCAGTACCACGCCCCGCCGCCTTTGTTTTCCCAGTGTTAATGTTTACATACTGTACTAGCTACTAATTTAAGGCTGAGTCAGCCTAGGGGCAGCCCAGGACTTGTTCCGATTTTACGACTGATATTGGCCATGAGCAGAAATCAAACTTGGATCCCTGGGTTCAAAGTGCAGTACACTGACCACTGTGCTACTGCTCCCCATACACACACGCGCGTGTTCACACCAAGACTTCGAAGAGCTAGCTGCAATCCAGCGGTTTTTGGGTTAAATAGCGTAAATATAAGTGTTGTTAAACCCGTCACCACCTGACCCAGTCAATTAGTAAGGTTTGTCACGTAAGCAAAACATGCCAATTCATTACTAGTTCAGCACACCAGTGATATTGGAGAGTAAACCCACAACATTTACAATGCTAGTACGATGTTTTGCCGGTAATTACAACCAGCATCATCAGGCGACAGCTAGAGTTGTGGAGAAATACTCCTGTTTCGGCCTTAAATAGAGGGATAAATGGGATGTCATCACTTGTGAGCCAATGAGGTGCCAAAATCAAAAGGGGGAAATGTATTCATATGAATTACAATGGATATCTATTCCCGGTTAGGTTATTTATAGTTTAATCATAATGTGCAGGTGTGATGCATATACATTATGCATGCATATCTTGACATTTTTGGGTGGAAAATCTCAATATCTGTTATTGGCTGCTCATATAGTTAATCGCCATTTACGAATGGTGAACTGTATAGGCATGCAGTTAAACATTCTCATACTTGATAATACGCTTCCAAGCAGCACTAAGCCTGTAGCTATCAGAACGGTTAAAATACATTGTATTTCTCTCAATTTCAATAGATTTTCTAAATAGTATTGGCCAGTAGTAACTAGTTTTGCACACAACCTCAACATTACCAAAATAAATTGAGTGTCCTTGTTGGCACATGTGCCGACAGTTGCGTTTTTTCTTGGGTGTTCTTTTAGTCTCATGCTGATCGTTCGTCCAGTCTGACCAACATAGCATTTGCCACATGAGCTATTAATCTGGTACACATCTTTTGTTGATAGCTTTGGTAATACATCTTTAGTACCAGATATTCGTTTTTGTATTTTATGTACTGTGCCAAATCTCACTCGGATATAGTTTTAAAAAATATGGCTAGTTTATCAGTTGCTTCCGCAAAGTACAGTATTTTAATTGTTTTAATTGCGTGATCAATTTACACGCTTGTGCTATTTTATCTGGTTTTGTCATTCAGTGCCCTGTTGATTGGTAAATCATTGTATCTATTCCCCCTGGTTACGTCCTCTACATAGACCCCCCCTCATTAATGATCATGAGTG